TGTGTGTGTGTGAGTGTGTGTGTGTGTGTCTGTCTGTCTGTCTGTGTGTGTGTGTGTGTGTGTGTGTGTTTGCACCTGCGTCTTCATTCATGAATCTGTTTATCTTGAGAGAACGCATATTGATATTGACCTTAATTGTGGCGTTAATTACATATTATTGTATAAAGTGGCTGTCTTTGTGTTTGCTTTGTATGTGTGTAATGGGAAGTAACCTAGGGGTTTTAGTGAAGTAAAACTTGTTGGCAGAGGAACAAGATCAATAGATCACTTACCGTTTCTCTGTGCTCGATTTACGACAACTTTTCTGTACAAAGCGGCGAAACAGAATTTCAGACATATCTTTGGTACCGTATACCGTATTGTGAATAACCATTACATCAGACCTAAAACCTAACCTTTATCTTTTCACATAACATATGTATAGAATATGTTAGAATATTTTGACAGTGTTCAGACAGTTGCTTTTTTTCTTCTTCCCCTCAACACTGTTTGAAAGAATGGTGTAGCTTGAATTGTTATAATAAAAACAAAAACCTTTGTTCTTCACAACTCATGTTTTCGATTTTTATGTTTCTCTAACACTGATATATTATTGCCATAATATCGTTGTTGGTTTTGGGGGGTTATATAGGGTTACAGTAACATGTTTCATTCCTGTTAAAAGTGTTGTTGTCGCTGCCTTAATTAGAAGAAGAAAAAAAATAGCGAAAACCAAGGGACATGCTTCATACTTGAGTCGTGATCTGCCTTGTTGCCACATGTTGCTGGTTTCCTTGGGGTAAATTATGGGATTGGGTTGCACTGAAAATTTTTGTATTATCCCTATTTCTTTTTTCTTCTCATGGAAGCTGTTCGGCTAGTTCTAACTTCTGTTTCTGTTGCTGATAGTTTGTTGCAGTAGTTTTTGTTATTGTTGTCGTTTTGTTTTGTCTGCATTTCCCTTTCCTTAATTGTTGTTGTTGTTGTTGTTGTTGTCGTCTTCGTTGTCGTTGTTGTTTTCTTTGTTGTTGTTATTGTTGTTGCTGTTGTTACTGAATATCTGCTGCAGAGAACCAAAAAGGAATAACAACAACTTGACAAAAATCCATCTTTATTGTTGGTCGTTATCCATAATATCTGTTCCGAAGTCATGTTCCACGTCCACATACGATCTACCTGTCTTCTGTGACAAGTGAACAATGGCGCCATTCATGTTTCTGTCTGTTATGAGGTCCATCGTCTGCTGAGCAACGTACTCGGCTCTGGCAAATGAGTGGGGAGGGGGGGAGGGAGAGAGAGGGAGGGAGTCTGTTCAGTTCCAAATACTAGAACAAACGTTAACGTGACAGGTTAAAAGCCTATTTAACCCTTTCACTTCTGAAGCGCTTCCGTTTAAGTTTGTACAGACAAGATGAAATGGTCATTCAAAAGATTTAAACCAAACGGTGCAATTGTAATGGTTTAGCACCCCTGTCAACATTATTTGGCGGGACCTCCGAGTTAAACGTCCATCTCCGAAAGGACCGAGCCAAATGAGAACTTCGTGTAAAGTGCCTTCCCCAAGGACACAACGTCGAACCAAACTGAGGCTCGAACCCCCGAACCCGCAATCTCACGATTATAGGTCCGGTAGCTTAACCACTAGACTATCGACGCCACCCAGATTTAAACCAAAGTCATACTATCTTTCCCGTTATTTATAAACAAATAACAGCACAAAATACAAATTATCGTTATTATCTCTCCGTATGAACCAGTACAAAAATGGCAGAGAACCAGCTTGGGAGAACACGAGTAATATAAGTACGTCTACAGTAGTGTAGGTAGAGCTGATTACATGATTTACGGTTTCAATAACTCTAGTACTGTATGAGACTTGGAAGATGCTCTTTCTCATTGTCATCTCACTCACGAAAGACAAAGAGTAAAGTGGTTATAAATCGATCTAGTAGGCCTACTATAATATTATTAGGCTTACATAATATCTTGCGAAAGAGACAAAACAGAGTTATAGCCCCTAAATCGCTTGTCATTTTCTTTGCTGACAACTTGGTATATTATTATAAGTAATTGTTGATGTTTTACGCCCCCATAGTCACATTTTAGATCATTTAAGAGGCTGGCTGCTTCGACACGCCTGTCAGGGCCAACTCAGGCTAACAGTGATACAACATCCCACCACGAAAAAGGAGATAATTGATTAAATAATAAACATTTCTCCCACAGGGGAATCGAATTCACTTCTGCGTTCGAAGACGAATAGATAGATAGATAGATAGATAGATAGATAGATAGATAGATAGATAGATAGATAGACATATCATTGAACTTCGAAAAATGGCTTTCTGGAGCATTTACTGTCATAGATTCATTACATAATTGTTACATTTTCGGTTGCTTGGTTAATTATGTTTGCTCTCTCTCCCCCGTGTACGTGCGCGCGCCCAGGCATATTGCATTCTCTCGCTCGAGGAAATAGTTTGGCAGCAGTACTAGGGGGTATCAAGATAGGTCGATAACATTCTTCTCTGAAGCAAAAATTATAACATGCTCATTTGCTGCCCACGATTGCAAACTTACTGCTCAAGCTTTACCGGTACCTTATCGCAGGGGAAATTCTCGCAGAAATCTTGGAATCGTTTATATTGAACAAATGAAATGACACTGTTCTGTTTAAGGATAAACTGACTACTTTGGTTTGAATCGACAGGAGCATACAGGTGCCACACCCACACACGAAGGGGAAGGTAATAAAGAGAGAGAGA